CCCCCGACCCGAGGAGACCTCCCCGCGGCCCAGCGGGAACGGAGAGCGGCCGGGACAGCCCCCGCCTCACCGCGCCCTCACACTCACCGAGAGGGCCGAGAGGGGCCCCCAGCCCCGCCCGCTGCATCACCCCTGGCTCCCGGCGCGTACTGAGCTCCGTCTCGCTGTCACAAACGTCCCAGATGTCCCGAATCTTCAGTGTAATATTTACCGCGTACCAAGCAGAAGCTTCAAAAAACACCCGTTAAAAAAAAACAAAAACAAAAACAAAACCGAAAGGGTTTTAGAAGTTGACCTGAAACGTGGGTATTCGACACGAGATCATTCATCTGTACTTGTACAAAGCTCTTTCTGCCCATTAGGGTTTTGCGAACGAACGGGGCTCGTTTGGCTGCCCAGAGCAGACTCTGGGAAGAGTATGGCAGACTTTCCATCCCGGACAGGAGACTGCCTGTCTTTGCATCTCGGCTCTCTCCTGCCTTAGGCCTGCTCTTTCTTTCTGTCAGGGCAAAATGGGGACAAAGTGCCAAGGCCCTGGGTGGGCGCAGGGCAGAGCGCTGTGCTCTTCGAGGTGAGTCGATTGTGCGCTCTCTTACCCGGCCCGCGACCTCATCGCTGGGCCTTCAGGATGCACACCCTGGCCTTCACTCTTGGGGTGCAGGAGAAGAGCCATGAAATAAGTCACAGGTGAAATACAGAGAACAAAGGGTCTCACCTGCGGGAGTGGCTGCATTCGCAGAGGTTATTGCATCTGCCCAAGGGGATGCGCTGCACTTTAAAGCCGTGGTTTATAACCTTGCATCCTTCACAGACAGAGCTGTGGGACAGACCTGTAGCGCTGTGAGAACTGGGGGATTTACCACAGAAATGTGTCTTAGGCAAGAAAGTATGACCTCTAGATCATAGTGTTTGCATGAAGCAAGAGTTTCCTCCCAGAATGATGACTGGTTTGGGAATATTTGTCAGAACTGAGACAAAAGGGGATTTCTGTCCACACATCCTTCTGTTTCTGTTATTCTTGGGACTAACTTGTCATGGTTCAGCTTTGCCAGCAGTAATGCATATTTTCAGAAAAGAGAAGTTAGTTGTATGTGATTGTGATTTTTGCATCTAATTAATTTAAAATTCCTATTTTGCAAAGAAATCTGTTTTCACATCTCCTTTAGTAACAGGAAGTAAGTTTCCAGAGAAAACAGTACTGCTGTATATCTGTCTGCTTATTTATGTTATATATTTTTGTCGCAATGTGAAGTGAAGGTTAAACAGGATATTTTGGTTTTCTAAATCATAATTTATTAAATTGCCATTCAACTTCCATTTTTACAAAGCAAATTTCTGCATTTGTTGCTAATCAGTGGCTAATATGAGGTGGCATAATGTTGCCATCCTTGCTATTCATTGGACTAACCCTGATTTTTTGTAAATTAATATTTGGCACTTGCCTCTTTGAAGAGGCATTAATACTTGGAGGGCAATTTTACATAAGTCATGGAAGCAAAGATTTTGTATAGAATCTATGTGACAGATCATCTTATCTTTCCTCCAGTACTGGAAAATTAAAACAAAGGATGGCTGCAGTCCTTGGAGCTAACAGAGATTGTATAACTCTGAGGCTCAACATCTAGCCACAGATTCTAAATCCCATGAGGAAGAATTAAACCTTGTATGTTATGACCTTCAACTGGATTTCCAAATACAAGGTGGCCCGTTGGGATACGTTTTATGACCAGGAATGAGGGAAAATAGAGTAGTACAATCATGAAAGCATCCTGAGTTAGTCCTGAGAGCTTTGAGGTGGTCATTTTCTTAATTGTGAACACCCCCAAACCAATATATACCTATGAATTTCAAAATCTGGGTTTTACTTGAATTTTAAATCAATTTATACAGGTAGAAAGAGAAAACAAATCTGCTGGATAAAACAGAATAACATTACAAGACCAGTATGCGTGAGTGTAGGGGGAGAGATATACACCTAAATTCTACATTTGAATGTTTTCCCACCTTTCTACATATTCTTCAGAGGCCTTCTGAATCTGCAGTCTCTTTTTATCAGCCTGAGCCAAGGCTGTACATAGTTTGCTCCCTCCCCTTCCAGTCACCAATTTATGCTTCTGCTGCACAAAGCTGTACCTTTGAAAAGTCATTTCCTCACACACTGCCTGCTTTTGCAGATTGCAGTAAAGTGCCCTCTCTCCTCTCTCTTCTCTCTCCAGGTTTTATTTATTCAATGCAGCAGCTAAACCAAGGCAAGCAGCCTGGCTTTCCTTCTCATTGTTCCACTACAGACTTTTAAATTAATGTGAGATGGCTTCTAAAAGACCTTAACACACAGCCAAATGCAAATAAAGAGTCAGGTACTGCCTGTTAAAAGTACGTGGCATGAAGCACTGTGGGCGTTGCATCTGGAAAGACAGAGACATGACAAGAACAGCATCAGTGGTTGCCTCAACCCATTCCCTGTTGTCAAAGGTAAGGCCTTCTTAGAGAGAGGGGGAGAGAGCATTTACTTCATTCGTGTTGGAAAAATCAGGGCTCAGGAGCTCTGAGGAACTGTCAGCAAAGGTCAGGCTGTATTCCTTGTGCCTTCAATGGTACCATGGTCTAGTCAGTCCCATTCCTGGAGGGGGCAGCTGGGATGGGTTGTGTTACTTGGGGTCTCCAAGGGGCATCTTGCACACCCTTTCCATGAAAACAAATCTTGCACACTATTGAGTAAAGTTCAGTTTCAAGGTCCCAAGTTTGTTTTTTGTTTTGTTTTGTTGTTTTGTTGTTTTGCTGTTTTGTTTTGTTGTTTTGGGGGTTTTTTTTTTGTTTTTGTTTGTTTGTTTGTTTTGTTTTTCACAAAATCATAAAGGGAGAATACATGCCTGTATTTGTCAGGAATGAAACACAACTTAGGAGTTTTCATTTAAGGCTGATTTATTCATCTTAACTCATCCCATTACTGGCATTTCTTAGAAATGCATTTTTGAATGATTTAATACGGTCTGTCAAGCTTAAATTTGAATTTCATTATTGTTGAAACCTCAATGTTAAAATAACATAGGGTTTTTTGCATTTAATTTCCTCTTTTTTATTAAAAAATAAAAAATATATATTTGAGGGAAAGTTATTGAAAGCATATTCTTTAACCCAAAGACCACCCAGACACAATGTAAATGTGTATTTAAACAGTTTTAAAAAATGATACTAGGTATCAAAGCAATTGGAATTGCTCCACTGGAGTACTATTTTTTCTGGTATATCATCCTGTCAATACAGATCTAGATGCATGATAGTGAGATCGAATTCTAAGTATGTGAAGTGGGCAGTCCTTTGACTTTATCTCTTTCTTTTGGACAAATTGAATTGCTTTCCAAATTTCATTGTTTGAACTTAAGCCAATTTTAGTTATGGGAGAACAAAAGCAATTTTAACTTCCATGATTTATTCACTTAACATTAATAAAGCTGAAAAATAGCAGTCTGTTTGGTAATGGTAATCAAAATGGGCTTGCAAACCACTGGAATTAAAGTATGGTAATGGAAGTGCTGACAGATCCCATACTGTAGTGATGGGAACAGTGTTTCTGCCTTATCCACACTATAATCTGTAAATAACGCTTCGTTCTCGGTGAAGTGTGGAGAATGATTTATTGTCATTGTTAGCATGGACAGGCAAATAACCTGACACACTTCTCAAAATAATGGTGTGTAAGTGAAATCCAGTCTGTCACAGGACCAAAAAATGTACTGTGGAGTTTGGCCTTTGTCATCCAAGGATCTCAAAGTGCTCAGTTACCATTAAATGTTGCCTTCTTATTGCCACTCTGCAGATGGGGGAACTAGGAAACTGACAAATTAGGGATACAATAATAATATGTTTTTGTTGTTTGTTTTTTGTTGGTTTTTTTAACAGATTGCAGTGGAACCTGAACTGGATGTCATATGACTGGATCACAGAAAACATCCACAGAAAAGCCCATGGTAATAAAAACTTTTTCTTTGGTAGCTAAGGACTTGTAATAGTCCCAAAGTTCATCAGTGGTCTTCATCAAGCTTGAATTGCAGAATCACACATTCCAATTCTGTTGAGTCGTACTGAAAATTATTTTTCTGTGGTGGCTGGCTAATACTTTGTATGAAGTAATACTGTATGCTATTAACACTGACTAATACTGCAGTCTGGTGATGAGACTTAAGGTTCAAATTCCAAAGTCACTCCATATTCAAAGATAATGCACAGATCTGTAAAAACCAAGCTCTGGATCCATGTATCATACCCACCCCAGGAAATAATCTGTTAGATGTTCTGGTGGTAATCCCACAGATCACCTTCTGTGCAAGGTCTTCACTTAAGGCAGCCAGGTCTTAAAGATGTAACCATTGCTGAAATGGCTGAAAAGTTTTGAAGGTTTCTATGATGTGCGCACTTCTCAGTGCCATTTGTAACAGTCTTTGGTTACACAAGCACACTTGTGGTCTCCTAAATGATCCTGCCTTTTTTGGCACAATGACCAGGGGGCTTAATTCATGCATGGAGGTATTTTACTTCACCTTCACTGTTTGATGCTCAAGGCCTCCTGCCATATCCATTGCACGCTACCTAAACCCTATTCTGATGACAGAACTAATTTCCTCAAGAGATTTGCTCCAGTGCTCAGCACTAAAATAGACGATTGCTTTGCAACTATTTATTAATTTATTTTCATGGCACTCCTCTGCAGAGAGAAGGTCATTATTCCCTGCTTTGATGGTTGGAGTGTTACCAGACGAAATGGAGATGTAGTCAAAAGTAACCACTGCTGTTGGCTCTTCAGTTCTGGGCTGCCTGCAACCAGATTTCAAAACTTCTAGAAACAGAATGTTTTGCAAGTGCAGCTGAGAATGCACAGCTGAGGAGGAAACACATGCAGTGAGACTCTGAAAAAATTACTGTAAGTGATTTTAACTATGCACTGTAATTTTATGATGGCAGCATTTACGGGGCTTAATCATGGCTTAACCTTACCTGAGTCCAAACCTCTGGATTCATTCACTTTAAGTGACTCAACAAGTGAGGTGGTGAGCTTGCAGAAAACATTGTTCTCTGCCACTCAGCCATGGTTCTTTCTCAGAAAGAAAGCATGTATATCATATGAAGTTGTAAAGTAAACTTTATTCTGAAGATACTTTACACCTGTGTAAGCCTGTATATACCTATGTGCAGAAACGTTTCTTCAGATTCCAAGGAAAATGCTCACTACTGTTTACTCTTAGTAACTATACATCAAACGTCCAGCCAAGGACCATCCTTGCTTTATCAAATTCTAAATAAATATAATTGTTCAAGCTCTCAAGCCCTATGGATGACAGTAAGGTCACAAACATGCCTAAGGTGTATAAGGATATAAGTGTGAAACAATGAGAAAAAACAAGCATCACTTAAGAGCTACTTCTGCTTGTAGGATCTTTTGCCATCCGTAATGTTGCAGGGCTGAAACCACACATGATTTTTGAAATGGTGACTGATTCTCCAGAGCTGACCATCAAAATCAGAGAAAAACCCAATCTTCAAATCAAAGTACTCATTTTGTCACCTAGCTATGTCTTTTATAGATTTTCTGGCCATTTTCCATTATCCTTTAAAAAATCAGAGCATGTAGATTCTTCCAGGTGACATTAATGTTGTTTCTTTCTGGGAATTGCCTAATGAAGATTAAGCGGAGGAAGTAGCACTGCAAGGTGTAGAGTGAGGGGTCCCAGGAGAGACTTCAGAGCCTATAGATAATGCTCAGATGGAGAGAGCTTGCTCAGTTGGGCCACAGAAGAGCTGGGAATAAAACCTGCTAGGGAGCCGAGGGGAAGCCACAGAGTTTGCTGCTACTTAGAAAGTTAGCGAAATGACTGAAAACTGGAAGCCAGCTCCGATTAAACCCTGCCAGCGCTTTGCAAGAGGAATTGCAAGGAATTTACAAGCATTTTCTGCTCTGAGCTCCTCATTTTGAGTTTACTGCAAATATATATACTAGCCTGTATTCTAACACAGTCTGGCTCTTGAATGGAAAAGCCACTTGATCCACTTTGGAAAGTTCACTTTGTGGGAGGGGGTTGGCAGACCTTGCCTCATTTCATCTCTTCCTCATTCCATGATGCATGCTGTACAGTAAAGGAGAGCAACAGAGTGGTGACAAGGGTTTCTGAGCTTTGCCTTCAGAGAGGAAATGAGGCAAAAGCTATTTCCAGAAGCAAGGTGAGACTATGATGGACCAGTTGTCCATCCTAGTATGGCAAATTCTGTAAGGACCTCCAAAACTTCCAGTAATTTCCTGCCCAGTAGCTAGTTAAAAACATAAGGGTTTTTTTGGCTCAGCAATGGATGTTGATTATTTCTTTTCAGTGGGTTAAAAAATAAAGCACAGTCATTGTTCTCCATTATAAAAGAACACCTGAACTGAAAAAAAACCCCACATACACCAGTGAGAATGGTTGTTAAGGCACTTCTTATTCTTTGACACATGGATTCTAAAATAACCTGACATTAGTTTTATCAAATATGATGTTGTCTTGCTAGTGTAATATCTTACGAAAACTCAGTTAATCAGTCTTTCTTGGAAAATGGGAAGACACTGCCATAGATGATACTACTTAGCAAGCGAATTATATTTTCATGTGTAATTTGTGTTACTGCTCTTTTATTTTTTTATTTTTTTTTCTGAAACAGAAAACTCATGTTTCACACACATTTGTAAAGAAAGCCTCTATCATTACAGGACTAAGGAGAAGAAGGAAACAGGGATAAAGTAACCTGCTTACAGACGTGCTGTAGCTGTGGTGACCTTTTTTGCATTTTCAGCTCAATAGAAACAAGTACCAGACAAAAGCAGTGCAGACATTTAACAGACAGCAGCCAGGAATGTGGTGACCATTTGCTGGCACATGACCATAACTGAGCACTACTGAAAAACTGTCAAGACCCAATTCATTTTTAAAAGTATTCTCTGAGATAAAAATAGCATCTCCTTGAGTAAAACAGTACATTGTGGTTTGAAATCTGGGCATCCGAAATTTGTTTGAAATGTGTTTATGGCAAAACAAACAAATGCACAAATACTTGGTGTACTTGATAGTTTATCAGTCCCTTTGTCAACAAATTAGCTTCTGCAGCTTTAAGACTTGTCTTCATAGTCAGACATCTGCACCTTAAGTTAGTTAGCTGCTAATTAAGATATTGCTTAAAATATATTTTCCCCAGTCAGTGTGTACAAATACAACAAGTGTATTCCAGGACCGGACCAAGAATAAATATTTGTGGTTTGATGAAAACATAGGGGAGTGTTCATATCAACTTCTATAAACAAGTGAAGTGACTTTAAATAACCCAGCATTATTTATTTTGACGTAAAGGGTCCTATGCTGATATAAACATCCTCAATGCAAAATTACTTGTGACTGGTTTTGTAAGCACAAGATCAAAAACAAATTTCTGGGGACAGTTTAAACAGGAGAATATTAGTCTTAGTCACCATTATCACCTCCCCCAGGATGAAGAGCAAGAGACTTTATATTAAGAAATTGCAAAATAATTTGTACATACATACGATAAACACGATAAACAGTTTGGCAGATGATTTTGTATATTCCACAAGAGTTTTGGTTGCAAAGGTTCTTCTTTCATTTATATTCTTTTCATATGTTCCCATAACTATAACCAATCCCTCCGTTCTTGAATGCAGGAATATACTTGACCTCATTGCAGTTTTACATTAAGAAGTTCCAGAGGCTAAATATGGATTTTTTTAAGTCCTTCCTCTTCATCATTTTGGAATTCCTCTATTTTCAATTTTTTTTAAAGCTTACATTATTAGACAGCTGCATAGATACTAATACTTCTCCTTTTACAGCATTCATAGTTTCAAATAGTTTTTTCACTTTTTTTTTTTTAATTCAATTCCTTTGTAAAATAAACATGTCTAATATTTTATTCCTCTCTTCAAATGAAATTTTTACATTCCTGTGCTATTCTTTAGTCTGTCTCTGAGAATGCTGTATGTTTGGCTTGTATTTTGGGGAGTGTAAAACTCAAAATTGGACAAAGAATTATAAGAGTAAAAAGAACTATCTTCATAAACTCATTGTAATGTTTTCTGTATTAGATTTTATCCCATTCTTTATATATCCAAATAGTTTTATTTATTAAATTTTTAGCTTTCCAGCCCCTGGTGTATGTAGAGCAGGAGTTTCATCTATCTTTTCAGAGTAAAGCAATGCTATTTTCATGGAATTGGCACAGTTACTATAGAACCTAGCAAGACTTGCACCAGATACATACTGCTTCTTCCAATGCACAGCAGAAACACATTGCATATTTTAAGTTTTCTGAATAATTTGTTGTAATGACTCGTCTTACCTCATCTCTCTTGTGTACATCAATCTGCTTGTAAATTTGATTATAAATATTTGTATGCATAGGCAAACAAAGAACTCCTGCACATCCCATACTTATGGGAGCAGTTAAACATCCTTCTTGAGTTGCAGGTGGCCATTTTGAATATGGGCTTTTTGAAGACTTGCAAAATAATTCCTTAGTATGACTCTTATTTAGAATCTGTTTGAGGGCTGAATGGCACAAGAATCCTGATGCCTCTGTGCCAGTGAGCTGTCTTCTGTTTTGCTACTTGGAAATGTCTTCTACTTTGACTGTAGCCTGAGGTTGTGAATTGTAACTCAGTAAAGGTCCATTTTCCTTTCCCTGAAGAAACATGAAAGGATGTATTCCAGATGGATAGAAACCTGTTCTGCTGGTTAAAGCTTGCAGGCCTGATCCTTGGACCTGTGCCACTTGACACCAGTCAGCTAAGGAGTCTGCCTTTTTGGATATTACTTTTCAAATCAGTCGTTTGGACTTCTGCTAAGGAAAAGTCCAACCAACTTGCAGAGATATTGCTTGTCTGTCACCTTCAACTGTGTTTGGTTAAGAGGGAAAGCAGTTACACCTCTCTAACCATTTCCTTGGGGGCACTGGCAGTGCACACCCACCAGGCTCTTCTCCAACAGATTCTTCACTCCTAAGTCTGCATGTTAGGCATATGGCTTGGGCAGGGACTCGGTGTTAGAAAGCTCTTGATGTGCTGTAAGCCCAACACTTGGAACTATTCTAGTCATGTGAGAAGTTTTTTATCCTGGGGGACTAGTCAGGCTGAGTAAAACACAGAGGCAAACTACGTAGGATCAGCCAAAAGTTTGTAGGATGCAAAAATTCATCCCCTAAAAAGACTGACTGAGTGATAGCAAAATCTCCTGTGAGCACCTCATATATACAGACAAATATTTCATTTTTTTAAAATATAATTTGGTTTTTATCAGTATTTTTTAATCAAGAGAAATGAAGTCCTTGTAGGAGTTTTTTATTTTGTTTAGTTGGTGCTATCCTTAAAACTCTGGGTACCAGTATATCCTTCTTACCACTTGAACTGTTAAATCAGAAGGCAGTACACCCTGTATTTCAATGTGACACCCTTTCCCCCTTTCTATCTTCAGAAAGCACTCCCAAACCAAACCTACAATGTGTAATTCTGGTGGTCTAGTCCTCACCCCATATCTGCCATCTGCCAGCATCTGAGGCAAGGAGCAGAAATGATACACAATGATTTAGGAGGACAGAGAGCATTTTCTTACTTTATCATGAAACACTAATTTTACAAAATATTGTATTAGTAGTATTAAAAATGTCCTCTGGAAACTCATTTGCATCAGCATGCTGCCCTCTCCTCTTGTTATTCTTTCTGCCTTAGAAAGGTAATTCTCAATGTTATCTGTGTGAAAACTTTGAGATTTACTTTCTTTAGTTCAGAATTTTTTCCCTGTAACTGCTGAATAGTGCAAATAACCTGTAGATCTCTGCTGAGATAAGGAGTAGTGAATGGAATTTTTGCTCAAGGCCACTGTTCAAGCACAGCAGCCTGGGCACCTCCTACAAACCCCTGTAATCAAGATTCACAAAATGACCTTGCCCTACTTTTCCCTTCAAGCCCCCAAGTGGGTGCATGTGAGACTGTGGATACTGAAAGTTAATGAGGCTGCAGCTAGAATAAGTCACATGTAAGATTGTGGATGGAGCACAGATAGCTGAGGAGGATCACAGACAGCTTTCCTGTTGGAGAGAAGGATGGGGAGGCTGCAATGAAGGTCAGACAGGACTTCAGTAAAGGTGGTGAGAGTCCTGATTCCCAGTGAGATACAGGAATTAGGTTGCTGGGCTCAGTCAGTCAGCATCAAGCAGCAAATTTTCAGCAGTGCATTAGCCATAACAACCACCCCAATATCTGCACTCAGTGCCTCACACTGCTGCAGTTGTGCCATCCTCAGATATAACCAGATGAAGAAGTACAAGCACAACACACAGATTTAATATTCATTTATTCTGAATGTTGCATTGGAGGAAAGTACTTGCTCAGCCAAGTAACTGATCATGATTGGATTTTAGGACAGTGACATTCTTTTTTGCTCTTGGCACTGAATATTGGTGTTTACTTAATACTGTTTTTCTTTGCTTAAAAAATATGTTTAGCTATCACAGATATCCTTCCTGTCTTTCTGTCCTCGTCTTAATTTTAACTGCCTATGTAGCAAAGATGAAAACAACAGCCAAAACCCATGAAGAAAAGTACTGTAAAAGATCTGTGGGGTAAAAAGTTATAAACTCCTAATAATACACAGTTTGTTTTCTTCTTGATTTTGAGACTAACTTTCATACCTGCAGCATGAGCCACTGTTTGTTTTTGGGGTTTTTTTCTGTGGTATTCAATTTAATAGGTAGTCCATTTTTTGGGTTTTAATAGTCAAAACCAGTTTGGAATACTTTTCCTTGGTGTGGTCACATTTATTTAAAAAAAAACCCGAACCAAACTTAAATGTGATTTTGTAGTGTTGAAAAGGTAACAGATTTGTCTTCCTTTCTTAGGACATAATCTCTTCTCCATTCAGAGGAGATCTGCAGTCAGATGCCATGACAGCAGAGTTCAGTTCACCAGAAAAACAGGACCTTCTAAAATTCTGCTGAGAACTACCTTGTTATCAAGTGCAAGCAAAGCAAAAAACAAAAAGCTTAAATATTCACATAAAAGTGATGCAACATCAAGAATAATAATAGCATATAGATATAATTTCTTCCTCTTTAACTGTAAAGTATTATTTATAATTTATAAGTTTTTTCACTTGCCCTGTCTGCTGTTTCTAAAAGTAAAGCAAGGTTAAATGCAGCTGGTAACTCTGAAAGCCAAGAACCAATCTGTCAACTGAATTCAGAAGGATGACAAAGCAGAGGCATAATATTAAAACAATTGGAAGATCCATTGCAATTAATTATAAAGAATGTCCTTACAGTTGAGCTCAAGAACAGAGAGTATTGTTGTAGTATTGTACAGTCATACAGCAGGCAATATATCCTAATTGGCTTTATAGCTAATGAAGAATGACACAGAATGCAAATCTCTTATTAATCTGGATTAAACAGAGAAAACAAACTTGTTTTAAACCTAGCCTTATAAACAGAAGGTCTAATCCTGAGCCTGCTTATATAGGGGTGTTAAACTAAATACAGTAGGAATGGTGTGTTTGCTCAGTGGTGGAGAACAAAGCAGGAGGCAGCCCTGCACACGGCCAGTGAGGGGGTTACTCTTTGCAGTGAAATATGAGTCACGGGATCACACACACAATTAATAAGCCAAAATCAACACAGGCGGGAACATTAGGCTCATTTGTTTAATTATTCACTACAGGCAAGGTCTGTTGCTCATTTGATTTCAGAATCTGGGCAGCATCATTTTGCACTGGATTGGTCCCCATTCAGATCTGCCTCTAGACCAAACAAGGGAGTTTCTGATCCAAGCAATGGCCACATCTAAGAGCTTTGGATAAAGTAGTATTTGACTTTTGTCTAGGAGTTACAGAACTGTCTGCAAGGTATAATGGCTTAAACTGACACATGCCAAAGGATCACTAAACTTTCAACAGCTGTATTACGTATCAAGAAGCATTTTTATATAAAGCATTCACAAGAAAAACAATAACTAAAATCAGATTAATTCAAACACTCAGGAATTCTGTGAGAATCTTGATTATTGTATTTTGAACAATATTTATGTCATTAAAACATCATTTTGACTACAAGGAAATATTTAATGCAGAGGTGTCAGTGGTAACAGCAGTTTAAATGGAGTATTTTTATCACATCTATAGGAAAGTTTTGAAAAGATAAAGAGTATTGGTTTTGATCATCAGAATTTGTGTGGCTGGAGACAATTTTATTCTGTGACATTGTTCCAAAGACTTGTGTTCCACTCACTGTGAGCCAAAAGATGCTCACCCTTAATAATTAGTCAGGAAACTGAACAGTAATCTATCTGTAAGCCATCCCTACAGGGCAGTAATTATTTTGCACAAAGAGAAACTAAGGTATCATTTATCTTTTGACCATTGAACAATGCCTGATAAGAACCCAACATTGAATTTTACTATTCATTTATTTTCTAAAGGAAAGGTGAAATAAGCTAGTGTCCCTTGGTATCCAGTAGGATCTGGTCACCAAACTAAATGCATCAGAGAACTGATGGCAAATGTCAAGCATCAGCTTTTCTGCAACAATGATTACCTAGATAAAACTGTTACTAGCTCAATATGTACAAGACAAAGCCGAGTTAAAAGGAAACACTGCATTATGTTCTGGTGAACGCAGTCAGGCACTTAGTGCATGTCTGGATGTTCAGGAGTCCTGACCTCTCTCAGCTGGTCTGTGGATTTCAGTATTTAAGTAGCTGAGCAGGAGCTTGCAGGCTCAGCACTTCTGTGCATCAAGCCACCTGTTGAAGAGCCTAAATATAGTCCTCTTAGCTTAACCTCAGGCTTGACAACCTTGGCCATTACAAACTGCTATTGCACCTCTAGCAGTTATTCAAAAAGCAGTTCAAGGATCCTGTGGGTCAGGAAATTAGCAGGAAGACAACCGCAGCTCTCTCCTTGTGGAGAGAAAGGCAAAGCTGAATGAATTAGCAAATAATATAATGAGATTTGGCAAATAGCTGAAGCGTGAGGAACCACCGTGTTACCACTTAACACTAAAGCTGATGCCTGGCTGAAGCTTGCCACTAAAGAGCTAATGCAAAATGAGCTGTAAACACTTCTTTTA